GGAAGGAAGGAAGGAAGGAAGGAAGGAAGGAAGGAAGGAAGGAAGGAAGGAAGGAAGGAAAAGGAGGAGGATTAGGTCACAAATGACCTCAGGTGGCTTGTAGCAGAGGGAAGATGTGTCTCCAGCCATGGGAAATACTCTGTAAAATTTCCATTTATATATGTACTCATTATCCATCTATTTACTCAGCTAACCTGTAATAAATAATTTAAGAAACCAATGACAGTGACCAAATCAACAGTATTGTCAATATGAAAGGGTTCTTTCCTATATTTGACTGTGGACATCTGTCTGTCCAAACGGTTCTCGGAATTTCTCTGCATTTATTTACTGAGAGAGAAATATGGACAGGGTATAAGTTAACTTGTGTTTGTATAAAGCATATGAATAAGTATATTAAATGAAATGTCCAGATAGTATATGCTTGTTTGTTCAGAAAAAAAGATGTGGTTTAGAGTGGTATTTAGATAACCATAGTAATCATAAACTAGTTTAAAATGGGTGTTTTGTTAAAATTATTTCCTTATTGCAATTCTTGAATTTGTCCTGGAATGAAGACCTCTGGATTGTTCCCACAAGTAGCAGTATTTATTTACTTGTGGGGGGGGGGGTATCTCTATGCAGTTTACTAAGCATCATTAATTAATAACAAGCTTTTACTTGCAGAAATGTTAGGAAAGCTAGTAGGTTATTTTGCAGGTAAAAGCAAATCCACCATTAAAAAGGTTGTGTAGATTACTATGTTGGTGGCCTGCTTGCCTTATTTACCTGCCCTCCCCCCACTGCTTGTAGAGTTTTAGCAATGATATTGGGACAGCTTTATCACTAGATGCTATTATCCCCCCTCCCAACATGAACAGCACCCTAAGGTAGGTGTGGGACGTCTTTGGCTGCCCTTCTTCCTTTCCAACGCGCTTTTCGTTTTGATTGCAGATCAACAAAAAACCACGGTGATCGAAAATGGGGAGATCCGATTTAATGGGAAGGGGAAGAAGATTCGGAAGCCTCGAACCATTTACTCAAGTCTGCAGCTGCAGGCATTAAACCACCGCTTCCAGCAGACCCAGTACCTGGCACTTCCGGAGAGAGCAGAGCTGGCAGCTTCACTGGGACTTACTCAGACACAGGTAATTCCCAGGGAAGACCAGGCCCTGGACACCTTGAGGAGGCAATGTCAGGACTGATGTGGTGGTGGTGGTGGCAGTAATAAGATATTTTTTGAAATGCATAATTTCCTTTGGCTAAGAATAGAAACTGGAGAACATCATATCGGAATCAGTGGACTACATAAACATCAGCTAAGATACATTGATGATATATCACTTATCTGTATATAGAGATATCTGGAAATCTAGATCTAGTTTATCTATCTCCCTACTTTTCCTTTGTCTCTGATCTACCTGAAGCCTCCCAGGGTATGTTTAGAAAAGGGCACATCCACCAACTCAGAATGTAGCTGTTTATCTATTTTAATATAGTCAAAATATCAAGTATAGAATAATCACTAAGATGAAAACTCAGAAGATCATTTAGAAATACAGTATATGTGTGAAGTATTAGATGTAGGAACAGTAGAACAGGCTTTCCATCCAGGTCTGATACTGTAGAAATGTACTGGCTATGCTGAACAGCCTCTGGGCCCAAATAAAACACACCTACCTTAGTGATATTCAATAGTAAATTATCCTGGATGAGTAACTGGAATCCAGTGGGTGCCCTTAGGCTAAATGTACAAAAGGTGGTGATAGAGGCTGACGATCAAAGGGAAGCGTGTACAAAATTAGAACAAGTTAAGCTACAGTTAAATGTGGTTGATGTGTTCTTGGTTTCTCTGCAAATTTAAGCCTGAATGACACATGGAGTACTATTGACTTGGGAGAGAGAAATACAGCAATTAATTGAATTCATGAATGCCAACAAAAGTTTTGATTTTTTTTTTTTTTAAGTTCTGGCAGCGTTTATATTCTGGGCAGGAGGGTGGGAGGGAGGATCAATCATATATGTGTCCAGCACTTGGAATTAAGAATGTAAGTCAAACAGAGGATAAATACAGAGAATTGAGATTTCATATCGTAAGGTAATAAGCATGATCTTGGTGGCCAGGAAAAACAGGAACTTGTATTCTATCAAGCAGGTTAAAATGTACTAGAAAATTAATCTTACCAGAGAAAAGAGGGATATTGTCAGCTTTATCCCTGAGAGTTATAACAGTTACCCCATTTGAATGACACATGCCTTGTTGTTCTCCATCTGTTATTTTCTTCTTTTAAAGTCTGCTCTAACTTTTGTAGTTCCTCCCTCATCCCAGGTCCTAGATTTTTTTTTTTACACCACTCATATTATGATTTAGATTGTGGATAGTCACTTTTGCCCAGTATAACAAAAAACCTGAGCATTCCCTCCCTTCCCCTGTACTTAAAAATGATTGTTGCATGTTTTTAATTATGCAGTGTAGTATACTGATGAATATCAAGTCCGTCCACGTCGTAGCTTATGTACCTGCGTAGATGCCCTCAATGGACGGATACAAAATAAGCAAGCAGAATGAGTGAGTGCATTGCAATGGTTTCATAGAAGGAAAAGGCCCTTAAAAATAAACATATGAAAATGAAAAGCTCAGTTACCTAAGCCTCCTTCGTTGCAGGTAACTGCAGCAATGAGAATGAAAGATGGGGTGGGGAGGGTAGAATGTTGGGCTTTATGGCTCAGGGTAGCTGGACCCTATTGCTCCAAACACAAGGGAGGGAGGGAAGGAAGGAGATTTCAGAGGGACTTTCCTTTGTCCTCCCTCCCCTGGCTGCTCTATAGGCCTTTCTATGACTTCTGCCTTTTGGTTGCAGGTAAAAATCTGGTTCCAGAATAAGCGTTCCAAGTTTAAGAAATTGCTCAAGCAAGGCAGCAACCCCCATGAGAACGACCCCCTGCCCGGCTCGGCTACCCTCTCGCCTCGTTCTCCGGGTTTGCCTCCGGTCTGGGACGTTTCAGCCTCTGCCAAAGGAGTCAACATGCCTCCCAACAGCTACATGTCTGGCTATTCTCACTGGTACTCTTCTCCACATCAAGACACAATGCAGAGACCACAAATGATGTGAATGTGGTCCAAGAACAACCGCTGGGCTTGGCCGAAGGGGCCAGCTCGTGGGTCTTGGGGTGAATTGGGAGCGCGTGGCAAGGAAGACGGACTGGGGCGGTTCTGTCTTCCCCTCGCCTTTAACCTCAGCGATTGATCTTGAGCAGAAAGAGACCATTTGCGTCGTGTCCCACGTCAGATGCTTCTCTTTGGGATATTTTGTCGGGATTCAGAGGCACCAAGCCTTACTGGGAGTACAAGTCAAAGCAAAAAACAATTACAGACTTTCCCCACTAGTCCACCACGCAGCAACTTCAAAAAGATCCTGTTGAATGAAAAAGAAACTAACATAGCTATCCTATTTTTATTCGCCAAACCCAGATTAACAAAATAAATTGGACAGCAAGAAGATTTTTTTCTGTAGGAAGAAGGAAATACCACTGAGGGTTGGAGCATGCGGGGGAGAGGAGGGGAGAAAATCTGGTTTAATAAGAATATTTTACACACACACACACACACCCCAGCACAGTCTTGCATCTTGGTCGGAACTGCTGGCTATGAAGGAGCCTTTCCTTTCCCAATCTCTCCCCCCCCCTTTCTTTTCTTCCTATAGTCAATAAGCCACTTGAAACGAATTAAAGCATCTGAAAATGACCAGAAGTTCTCCTGCGCATGCCCCATTGGAACCAACTAGAGCTGTGCTTTTGCGCCACCTTTATTTATTTCAAGGCTGCTGTACCGTAC